TTTGAGGGTTTAAGGTTTTTTGGGGTTTTGATAGGGCTTAAGGTGATATGAGGGTTTAGCGGTTTTGGGGTTTTTGATAGGGCTTTGGGCGATATGAAGGTTTAGGGGTTTTTTGGGGTTTTGATAGGGCTTAGGGCGATATGAGGGTTTAGGGGTTTTTTGGGGTTTTGATAGGGCTTAAGGCGATACGAGGGTTTAGGGTTTTGGGGTTTAAGGTCATATTGTTAGAGTTATGTTGGGGTTATACTAAGGTTTAGCGCCTACTGTGGAGTTCCTAGGGTTTGGAGTGGGTTTCAGGTCGTTTAGAATTTGCAGGAATTAGTAGCTTCAGGCTACTATGAGGTTGCCATGGATTGGGATTCATACTGCAAGTCTAGTTCAGGTGGTTCAGGTGCTAGTCGCGGGTAGTAGCGGTAGTAGTAGTAGTAGTAGTAGTAGTAGTAGTAGTAGTAGTAGTAGTAGTAGTAGTAGCAGTAGTAGCAGCAGTAACAGTAGTCGTCGTAGTCGTAGAGCCCTGCTCTATTCCCTCAGCCCCGAAACCCTCAATCCTAAACTAGTGCTGAAACTCACCCAAGAGATGGAAGCCTGCAAGCAGGTTCCCCATGCCATACCAGGGGCGGACTCTAGTCTTGTCACTGCTCTTGCTATAGATGCTGTTATTGAGGAGCATTTTCGACCGCACAGCCGTTAACGCTGTTCCCCATAAGCAAAAATAGCTCTGCAACTCTAACCTTACAGTCGCAATTTCACGACCCCAAATCCCGACACTCTTTTCCCGAATCCTGCCAATAATCACCACTCGATGAAATCCCTCACAACAAGGTCTATAAGATTATCCTAGCTATCTTAATTCCTCAAACCCTCACCCGCGAACAACAATCTTTGAATAATCTTTGCTGAACCGACAACCCTCAAAGCCTCAAGCCCTAAAGCTGAAATCCTTAAACTCCAAACCCTCAAGCCACCAACCCCAAACCCTGAAACCTGAGAAATCGTTCCCAAGCTTCCCCCAAACCTGAACTTTGACACCCGCATAAACTGGGATCTGGGTCCCTAGACCATAAACCCTCAAAAACCCTCTACCCTCAAAAACCCCAAAACCTCAAAAACAAAAACACATGAAGAACCCTGCCTAAAACCTCAAAGAACCCTAAATCTCAAAAATCCTTAAACCCTTCAGCAACCCCTAGGCAACCTAAACCCTAAACCCCTCTAAACCCTAAACCTTAAATCCCTTCAGAAACCCCTAGGTTCCCGAGCTTCGGTGTCGCCATGGGAAGGCTACCCCCATAGCCCAGGTAGCTTGGAGGCCTTCCAAACTCTCCCCGGTTTAGGGGTTTAGGGTGTGGTTTAGGGTGTAGGGTTTGTAGAAATTGCTGCCGGGTGTTGCTTGTGCTTTTTGGCTGGGCAAGGCTGGGCTGGACTACCGCTGGGCTGGGCTGCTGCTGGGCTCTCTTCGCGCACACTTGAGGAAAATTCGAAACTATTGAAGATGCAGTTCGAAGCGAAGGTGACACAATTTCTATCTATGTTGCTCGTGAGGGTTTAGCGTTTAGGGCTCCGGTTTAGGATTTAGGGTTTCTTTGGAAGGATCCAAACGGGTTCTATAGGGGTTTAAGTTTTCATCTTTGTGGAATCGAAAAAGGTTTTGGTGCTGTTGAACTTTCTGCTTTTCTCTTTTCTTCAGGTTTCGATATAGTTTCGGAACTTGTCCTGCTTTGTTTAAGTTTGAAAGGCTTCCAAGATGGTGGGCTTGGATTTCGGGCCACGTTCATTGGGGTTCCGGGACTGTTGGGCCGTCACCAACGTGAAGTAAGGTTGTTGTGAACGGATTCGAGGTGTTAAGGTTCGCGGGCTCACGGATCGCAAATCCCCCGCGAGCAGGGCTTGATCACCTGCAGGGTTCGTTGAGGAAAGGGCTACGGGAAAATCTCGTCCGCGACACTTTAAGCCCAAACCCACTAGAGTCACCACAATGTCTTAAACAGTGCTTCTTGATTTCGAGTTTCTGAGCCTCTTGCGACCATACTCTTTCTGTTGGCATCCTGGCGATTCCCAATCCGCTACCTCTTCGGCTCGCCTTCCTTCTTTTTGAGGTCTCCTAGATGTCTTGTAGTATCCTTAAGGGTGCCTAGTGATCCCTAATTCTCCCTAGTACTCCCTAAGGTTCCCTTACAGTCCCCTAAGGATTCCTTATACCCTCCCCCCTTGAACCACCCTCCCTTAAGGATCCTATAAATGTCGATTTCGACAGCCCCAAAGCTATTCATACGTACAAGTAGGGCTCTACACTAGACCAACAATGAAACTACACACTCCCCCAAACCGGTTACTGGTTTCAGGCTTATAACTCCTTTGTATCATGAGAACCACCGAACTCCTGCTAAACCCTGAACACCAAACTCTAAACCCTAACCTAGAAACCTACCACCCGAAGACTTACAAAACTCCACCACATGCTGTCAGGTGGCCATCCCAGCGGCACTGCTGCGCTGCCTGCAGAAGGCTCTTGCAGCTCGTAAGGGTCCAAAGAAGCTTAGAGGGTTTGAGGGCTCGGGCTTCGGGCTGATATAGGTGTTCTCTAAGGACTGCCATCAGGGTTAGAAGGGTCCAAGAAGGGTGATAGAAGCTTCCGGGTTGAGCAGATTGATTGGAAAATGTAAGTGCGGAGAGCTCTTTCTTTGGGAAGGGCTTGAAGGAACCCCTGAGGTATAGTATGGGGTATGGGTTCATTACTCCGACCGCTGTATAACCCCAAAACCGTAAGCCCCAGATCTCCTCAAGCCCAGATTACTGTTGATGGACAAAATCCTGCATGACCCTAAGGACTCTAAACTATGGGAACTATGGTATATGCCTTATAAGGGGTAATGCAGGATTTTGTCCATCAGCAGTACTATAGGGGCCTGAACCATTACCAATACTACTTTGGGAGTTCCTTATTATAATTATAGTATAACGGGCCCCAAAACCCTAGTCTAATTGAGGCCCCGAGAAAAGCGAGCCATCAAGAGACTAGAAGGGTAGGCTTTGTTTGGGATTGGGGCTTAGGGACATTCTTTGTGTTCGGGCTCAGAGGGCTTGCACGTTCAGGATCCAGGATTCCAAATTTTGGGTTTCCGTATCTTGGGCTTGCGGAGAGATGGGATCTCGGTTGCATGGTGTTGGTATGGGGTTTCAGATTACTGGGGTTCGGTGTTCCATGGCCCAGGTTTGTGACTTGTGTGCGAAACTTTGAACTAGCATCCTTCGTCCAAGTGCGACATGCAACCGTAGAGCTTGCAAAAGCGGTGGTTTAGGGTTTGCGACTTGGGGGTTGTCCATGCAGGGTGTGAGGTTTCAAGATTGCCGGCTTGGTTTGAGAAGGCTTGTTGTCGCAAAGCTTCCATGCCCTGGCCCTGGCACAAAGCCCGAAATCCGACGTATTCAACGCCAAGCCCTACTAAATCCTGCAGTTCGCCGGAAGGACTGAACACAAAGCCCCACAGCTACCCTACTCCTGCACTCGAAACCCTCTTCATAACACCCAGGCTCTAAACCCTAAACCTCTAACCCCTAAACCTCTAACCCCTAAACCCTAAACCTCTAACCCCTAAACCCTAAACCTCTAACCCCTAAACCTCTAACCCCTCATCAAACCTCCCAGACATCCCGTGCCGCCTTCATGCTTGTCACCGTCGTGGTCGGATGACCTGGCCGTGGCCAAAACCATCTGCGATAACAGCCCGATGCGGGTTCTAAACTGTTTCTTTGACAGGCTGAGGGTTTAGGGGCGAATCGTATGATAAACATACGTTATGTTTATATTGATATCATATCCATCTTATTATACTTTAACTCCTCTTAAATCTTCTGTGCGGTTGCCGAGTTTCTAAATATTCACTGCGGCACGACATCCTAAAGGAACACCCAAAACGTAAAGACACAGTACTTTGCACGCCTCAGCGCTCTCTTCATATAATCATCTACTAACCCCACTCCTACGGTATAGCTTGGGATAGCATATGAGTACATGATCTCTGGCCTGAAGCTCTACAGGCATGATTTGTTGTGGCGACAGCCTCGGGGACGTTCCCGCAACGAACCTCTTCAGGGGTTTAGGGTTAAGGGGTTTAGGGTTGCAACCTTAAGCCACTCTGGGAAGTCTTTAGGGTCTAAGGGTTTTGAGAAGATTAGGATTCTGCGTCTGTTAAACCTTCGACACCTTGCACCTGCAACCCACTGAACCCCAAACCTTGATTCAAGCGGAAGCCTCGATTCTCCATATCTTGAACAGTAGCTTCTGTGAGAATTTGGGGCTCGAGGTGTACTTATTCTGCTGCTAGATCTAAGTTGCACAATTGAGGGACAGTGGGCTCGGAGGAAGCTTTACTACAAGTATTATATACAGGTCTATTCATAGTCATTCATTTTTACATAGATACTTCGCTATGAATAGAGTATCCTCCTGACCCCTAGCCTTCGTCGGCCGCGGTGCTTCCGCGAGCTGGGTGACCGGGATGCCCTGACGAGGATCTTCCGGCTCAAGTTTTGTGTGTTTTGGGTTTAGGGTTTACGACTGTGCTCTTCTTGCAAGGAAAGGCTTCATTGTTCGGAGATCTGGAAAATTTGTCACTTGCGTAACTGCTTCGGAAGGATTCATATAGGGTACATGAGGGGTGTTTGCTGTGTTTGCACTGTCTGGGTGATCGAATCAAATTTCTGGCCTCGGTGCTACGCACTTGGCCCTAAGCTACCGCCGCTCCTAACTCGGGTTCCCATGCACAACCCTAAACCCTAAACTTTGCATCCCAAACCTTAAGATTTCCAACAGCAAAGGTCAGACGAATCTCGCGACCCCCAAACCCGTAGATGCCTAAGCCCTGCACCTGACATCCTAAGCCCGAAACTCTTTAGTAATCCCAAAGCCCTGAACCCCTAAACTCTGAACCCCAATATAGTACCTAAATAGTAGGATCCTTATTATACGGACCCCCAAATCAGGTACCAGATTACCTTGCCTGGAGCGTTTCCGGCGCTTTTCTGCTTCAGCGGCCTTCCGAGGACCTCAGGGGTTTTCGGATAGGTAGGTCTTTAATTTAGGGTCCCTTTTAGGATCCTTTCTGTAAGGGTGCCGTGATTAGGGGTTTCGGGTTTGGGATTAAGGTTTAGGGCTTAGGGAATAGGTTTCAAGATTCCATGGTCCGGGTTTAGGGTCACGGGTTTGGGAATACGGTTTGGGGAATAAAGTCTATAGGGTCTTAGGTTGGGGGTTTCGGTCTTGGGAATACAGTCTAGGGAGTCGGGTTTGAAGCTTAAGGTTTCGGGTTTAAGGAACATGGAATAGGGTTTAGGGACTCGGGCTTAAGGTTTGGGGTTCAATGAATAAGGATTGGGGATACGTAGAAACAGTTCCTTCTTCGGGTTCCCTGTGATCACTAAACTATAGTATGCCCCTGTCCCAATTATACCTCCAACCTTGGCCTGAACCCTTGAACTACTTAGAGGATCATGGGACTTAGTAAGTAGGTTATAATTGGGGGTATAAGTCCCCTAAGTGGGGTTATCCTAATTATAACCTACTTATAACCCTACTTACTAAGTCCCATGAACCCTTGAACTAAGGCCATAACTCCAATGTCAAGTCCACCGACCGTCTCTGAATTCGCCAGGTAAGCTCTCACACCTCAACTAATCCGAGTGTGCGAGGCCTACAGAAAATAACTTTCTAAGGTTTCATAAGAGTATATGATGCTCAGCAGGCGTTCTCAGATACTGTGGCGTCGCCATTGTGCCAACTGACCTGTAGTCGTCGCAATGCGGGAAGAAGTGAAGCTGGACATGTTCAATACCCTTTATAGAGTTTCTCAGTTCCTTGCACGTATCAGCTCATTAAACCTATTCGCGAAGGTGCGCTTTCACATCGGTCTTGCTCTTCAGGTAGTTCGTGGTTTTTGACGATTTGGGCATGCCCCATTGCTGAAGAAGGCTGCTGGACAGGTGACTGTAAGCAAAGAGATGCTACGGACTTGCTGAACTTGCTCAAGCTTTTGATGTCTCAGGTCTCCAGACACTGCAAGACAAGCGGCTTCGGGAGTGGAAGCTCGTAACTTATTCGCCTCGCCCCGATGCAGTCACCCAGGAGATTATATCAGCCGAAGCTGAAGTGCAAGTTCAGTTTCAAGTGCCGCAGGGACCTCCTTCGTCACGCAGGCCCTCGCTCCGGCACACCTTCGCTTGAGCAGGAAGTGGTTGTCAGTGTCAGAGATGGCAACTTTGCCTTGGCAACGCGCTCAGCATCCTTCTCGTCAGAAAGGGTAACGATGATGGTGTTGTCCACGACACCACCCTTTGGTACAGGGCTAAGAGGGTCACCGAAGTCTTGTTTCCTGGGCCCATCACCCAAGAGCCAAGAGCCTTAAACCGTGCATGCCAAAGTCAAAGCATCTAAAGCTTCTGATTAAACTGTAGACCTTCAGCCTACTTCGTCAATAGCACCTTCAAGACAAAGAGTTCTTTCACTAAGGCGCAGCTCGCGGTGAACTAGGTCAAGCAAGAGCAAGGCCAAAGGCGAAGACTTCAAGCCCGAATCCTTTGCCTCTGAAGCCTAAACAGCATCGAAACACCACAATCGAAACACCAAACACCAACAAACTCAAACCGTGCGCAAAAAACATACGCCTCAACAAAAAAATACAGTTCCAAACCTCGAATCCGAACCCTCTCAGCGACCGGCGAGATCCCTCAGCTGACCTGCGCCCGGTCTCTGCGACTATGGCTTGCGTAATATAGGGACCTAAATGATCATAATAGGGTTTCAGGGTAAAGTTTATTGTAGTGATAATTAGGAGCACCAAGGTTTTATGTTAGTAGTTATTGAAGTTTATATGTTCAGCCTCTTTAAGGGCCCCTGTCCCGTAGTAAGAGTGTACTGGGGTTTCGAATGGAGTCTTTCCGGTTTTTGGTAAAGGTTTCTTTCAGGGTTCTACAGGACTCTCTAAAGGTTTCTTTTGTGTTTTACAAGCTAGACTGAGGTTTAGGGCGATTTGACGAGTGTCGTCGTATAATGGCTTTGCTGATTTTAACGCAGGGCTTCTGTGGTTAGAAGTGGGCTTGTGGGGATATTATAGTATACTTGTACAGAGCCTGCCAGGGGATACGATAGTTATTCCAACGCTATACTGAACTCGAAGTCCAACAAATCTTGTGTTCGTGGTTGATAACTATCGATTTGAGATTCAGGTAGTGCCGTAAACGCTGAGCAGGTAGCAGGGGTAATGCCTTTGGTCTCGTCAATGGGCCCTCAACCGTACATGTCGGGGATGCTACTTTTCCCAAGAACCAGGAACTGACGGCTTGAGGCGTTCACTCCACGTACGAAGAGGTTTTTGGGGACTAGGGCTGTGGGTTTGGCCCTTGGGATGTGATTTCCGTGTTGGGGGTATTGAAACTGATGCTCAGCACCCGAAATCGGAGTCACCAATGCTTAGGACTCCCAAAGCCCTCGAAGTGTGGTCTGGGGCTAAGGGTTGGGGGCTTCGTGGCCCCAACCCTTCACAAGCTAGGCGGCAACATCCTCTTCTGACGTCTAACGACACCAGCCATCGTTATCACCAGTGCCGGTCTGAAAAAGATCATGCCTTTGCCGTGCCCATAACCTACTTTCCGAAATGCTCACACAATGTTATCACCAAGACTGCCAGTACCTTCAGCATCGTCATTGAATCGTCACCAACAATAGTGGAAGCCTTAGCAAAAACAAGAAGATCGACATGATCACCCTCGTCGCCGATAGCATCTCAACCAAGAATATCAACATAACTGACAAGACAATCAACACGACCAGCAACAATAGAAGCAATGCATCAGTATCAGCATCAGACCAGTTACCAGCAGAATTAAGTGCAATCGCAACTGCAAGAGTAAAAGTGTCAACATCGGTATGGCCGTCATGGCAATCTCTTTTACTGGTCGTGCCCTGTTTTTTTCTGGCCAGGATTTTTGCAAAGCTTCCCCCCAGTGGTGTCGAAAGCAGTTGACACCTTGACTGGTCCTTCCGGTGTGGATGCCGTGAAATGATTTTCCCTGCTCCAGTCGAAAGATACGAACCAGGTTTAGATTTGGGGCGATTCTGTTGGAATTACACTGGATGCTGCGCATGTGAGTACTCCTCCGAGGACCGTGTATGTGCGACCTGGTCAGTTCCTCGTAACACTTCCACAGGCACCGCGATGGCACAAAAGGCATACATAACTTAGGCTCCCGACTGAGGTCAACTGAATGTCGAGATGAGGGCTGCTGCTCATTCGGAGCCCTGTTCCCAAGATGTGCATACTTAAGGAATCTCTCCCTTCTCAATAATGCAAGCATGAGAGGACATTCGGCGATGATTTGGTAAACCACCGTACGCAGTGATTTCAAGCCTGACGCACGAGATCCCTAAGCCCCGAACATCCCTGAGCCGTGTCTCGTCTGTTCTGCCGGGAGCCCGCATAATGAAACTGATGGACCCACGACATTGAGGGCATGCTGTTGCACCAAAGCTCTCAACTCTTAGTTGGTTGTAGCAATCAGCTGTGTAGCCGCTAGTGTAGCCCGGTAAGAATAGCAAGGCCAAAGGGAGACAAGCGCCCACAAAGAAACCTCTCTACACTCATCACTGGATCCCCACTATGGTTCCTAGTTTCTGAGTTCCTGTGCTGAAAAAGCGCTGTTCTTAACTCCTGTAGGCCTATATAACCCCGACATAGTGAATTACTTACTCAGCTGCTACGAATAGATTTAACGGATATGAACTTCACCAAAAACTAGGTGTTCTTGCACTAGGAATCATGTTCCGAACATTTTGATTGATAAGCTAGCTTAGTGGCTCTCTGGATTTTGAGAAGTGAGCAAGAACTCTCTGAACCCTAGTCGTCGTTTCTCTGACCCTATCGTGGGTTACAGTGTTTTCAAAGGGTTCTTTACTGTCTTTGAACGATGGTCCTTGCTCGCCCCGTAATGGTAACTTACGCTGATCCCCTGAAGAAAAAGCCAGGAAAGTGGATACAACGACAATCGGCAAGTAGGATGTGTGACTCTCAGCAACTCTCCAGTGTCCTGATCTCAAAACTCTGCACCAACTTCATACTACATACCACAACAAGAGGGCTATGGCTACACATACCAACAACGATATATTGTTGCTAGAAAAGTCTTCCGGGTGACGGCTACGGATCTTCCCCATTCCCCGGGCTCGAAATCCTCACGAACATAATTCATGTTAAGCGCCCGTTCACAGACAAGGGCTTTCTTCGTGAGTTTAAGCGGCCCAGAATTTACCACAGGCTTTCTGTAGGTTTTTTGCCGAATATCGGCGATTTGGCAACTAGATAGGGTTTGGGGGTATACTCATGATGAGGAGCCTTACGGAATAGTACTATGCATTATTCGATCTTCATTGGGGTCTAGGGCCTAGGGTGCGTGAAGCCCACAAAGATGGGTCAGCGATCTGCTTTGAGTCGGTCAGGTACTGCAAGCAAGCGGGCAAGCACGCCTTTGCGGCACGGCCTGGCTCCTAACAAACGAGCGAGCGGCTGTTGCTAAAGCTGCTGTCTCTTCTTCCTTGTCTTGCGCCGCTACAGTTCAACAGGCCGTGGCAAACCAGCTCAAACAACTGTAGTAGGGATAAGGACGACGGCGGCAGCGATCTCCAATACGCAGCATGACGGCGACTTTTTCAACCATGTGCTGTCATCCCCGGCTTCCCCACGAAACCCCTTCGGCGAACCCCCATTGCACAGCCCAGAACAAAGTTCCAGCTAACTCCCAAATATCTTGAGGTGCAAGACTTTTGCAGCACCCGAACGCATAAACCCCAAACCCTGAACCCTGAAACCCTAACCTCGAATCTAAATCCCACACCCTAAGTATTCTTTGTGCCTGAGAACCTCGATCCGAGACGTCGGATCACTGGGCACAGCTCGGCCATGCAGGCGCGCACAGGCCCACTTGCCAGAACATACAGGTTAAAGTTGGTGTTCAGGGCTTTGGCTTTTAGGCTTTAGGTAGGGCTTTAAGGATTACGGGTTTAGGGTGTTTGGGGGCCCAGAGTGCTGGCCAGTCGCAGATCCATGTGCAAGAGCACAGGGATATTTCTGTTTCTGGCTCTGTGCTGTTTGGTTACCCCTTCATGTTCTGAGCTTTGTGCACTTGCCTTTTTCCCCCCTGTATCTTTGCGTACTGAAACAGCCAAGATATGTGGCGAAAATGACGTCCGTCGTCATCATGATCGTCTTCGCAGTATTCGCAGTAAGGGAGCAAGGCAACACCACCAAGATCAGTACCACCGTCGGTCGTAGTTCGGACCACAACGTTCCTGTTGTCTATCTTACAAACAGATAGCTGGGAGATTCTCGTATAAATCCAAACCGAAGGGCACACAACCCTCAACAAGGCCTGAGGTCGTAGACCCTGCCTTGAAACTTGAACAACTCCTCCGCAACCTGGAAGAACATCTCGGAACAAGAGGAACACTAGCACAGGCTCCCAAAGCCCCGTATGTCCCCTACTTAACCACTTAACCCAGGGTTCTGGCAAGTCTTGCATGGGGCGTCAAGCGGACTCGGTCCACTTGCGCCTTCTTGCGAAAATGGTGTTGGCATGTGCCCCTATTTCTCTAAACTAGGATCCCGTTTTTGGATCCCCAAAATAAGGCCTCTTCTTTTGAGGATCCGCAAGCGGGACTCTAACTCAGAGAGGCCCTGGCTTTCTTGACATCTAGGGCTCTTGGGCAGAAGAAGCTCTCCTCCGGAGCCCCTGATCAGTCGCGGGAATTTTGGCGGCGCAGGGGGCGCTTCAAGTTATCCTTTTCGCTAGAGTGTTGACCCCGAGCCGGATTTTCCGAAGGCATAAACAACATTCAAACTTCGCAAGCGACCGCTGATGCCCCTCTGTCAAGGTCAACCGTTCAGGGTTATGGGTGTAGGGTTCGACCTTTAATGCTGCATGCTTGAAGAGTCCCACATCGAAATACCAAAAGTAACGCGGGCTGGGGCCCCTGGGGGCGGAGTTGCTCCAAACCCTGTTTGAACTATTAACTTATGACCCCAATTACGGTACTTATAACCCTACTTACTAAGTCCCATAAATTAAAGCCCCGCATGTTTGGAACTGGGAATGATTTAGCTTGCAACTTCGTGCTTTCGAGCGATTTACAACAGCATGTAGCATTTGTTTATGGTTTCGTCTAGCACTGTAACACGGCAAAGATCGCGGAGGTTGCAGGCGTCATTATAGGGCTGCGGGATTGATATGTTTTTGCCCACTCCTGAAGCCATTGTCGATGTTTCAGGGTACAGGGTTCGGGGTCTGCCGAGGTGTCGGCTGTAGGGTCGGGGGCTATCCGGCTATTTGCCTTCTTGGTTTCTAGTACAGGGCCAGGTTCAAGGTGCAGCTTCTTTTTGGCTCAAACAGATAAGCCGCGTTCCTGGAGGAGTCTCCAACCCCAATTTGCAGACATAATTGAAGCGTCCGGAATGCGAGACGAAACATGTTTTAGTGATCAGTGCTAGCCTTAGGCCCGAGCCCAAAGCCTGTTCTTCCTCATTCCTCTGGTTTGGATTCATAATCATATTGGAGACTGAGAATATCACCAAAACTGATTTATGCACCTAGATTCAGCGTTACGTCAGGCTCTCGGCCCTGGGCTTTTCCTAAGCCCGAACATGTCGGTTGTGAGACGTCGCCAAAACTTTAGCGAAGGTAGCTGGCAT